GACCTAAGTATTGGAATTGTGCTTGTGTTCTTCCATTAATTTTTTTTTGTTCTCTTAAGTGTCATCTTCAGTTAATACTCATAGTTTTGTGACCATTTGAGAGACCACATGAAACGTCAGTTGGGAAGCATGTTTTCTGCAAAAACTAAAGGATACAGAACAATTGTTATGAGATCTTTTGAAAAATATTACCTATACAGTGTTGATTAAAAATGTGTTGTAGAGAACAGTCCCATGCAAGAAAAAAAGGGATAGCTGTAAGGCAATCTTTTAGTTTTGTAAACTACTTATTTGAATTTTACTAACTCCTGTTCAAATACAGTGATCTGTGAAATGACATTTTGAAGGGGTTTGTGTGAGAGAGACAGAGTGGAATTGTGAAGTCACATTATCAATAGATTGTGTTTCTCTTAATGTTCTCTTTGAATTACAGAAAGAATGTCTTTGTTGTTGGTGCTGAGAGAGCAGTACTCTACACTGTACAGTTAAGATATTCTCAGAGAAGAGAGTAATTTTCTTTTAATGTTAATTGTTCTTGATGAATAATTTGGCTACGGGTACATTCTGAGATGAAGTCTGGCTTCAGTTGTGATCCTTGGGAAGACAAACCGTATGTGGAAGCCTGAAAGCCTTCTCTTGAAAATTGCAAAGGCAGTATGTAGACACTCTGTACTAATTAGATTTCTCCTTCTGCAACAGGCGGATTTCATTTATGTGGTATTTCAGATGAACTTTTAAAGTCAAGTGCATATTTTTAAAATCAAGATCAAAAATCTTAAATTTTGTTTATCTTTTTTTTCAACATTAGGTATTCTATAAACTGAGAATTAGTAAATAGCTTCAGGATGTTAACAACTGTATGAAAAATAAGGCTTTAGGGAAAGGTTTTGCAGTCTTATAGGATTCGTTCAGTTCTGTGTAGTTGCTTTTTGCCACCACTGGGTGCTTTTGGACTGCTTGGTCATTTTCACAAATAGCGTAAAGGGTTCATGCTAGTAAAATATCCAAGGTTCACACAGTGCTCTTAATTTTATTACCAAACCAACTAACAGCATGTTGGATAACTTCTTTTGAAAGGCAGCATGAGAAGAGCCTTTACTAGAAGCTTCTAGATTTCAGATTCATTCTTCTGCTTGGGAAATTAATTTTTTCCACTGCCTTCTGTTATACTGAGACAATTTCCATTTTAAACTGTTTTGTCGCTTTCACCACTGGACTGCTAGCACAGGGTGGATGCGGTTCTCTGGGGGTCTCTCTGCTGCACTCGGCAACGGTGCCTTGGTTTCTTTTGTTCTTCTTATGCCACTGTTAGTCATCAAGTAGTTAGTCATCAAGTTTGCAAGTCCATCTCCTTCTCCAGAATACTTTGTTTTTTTGAGGATGCTGAGAGAGGGAGCTTCAAGGAGAGCTCAGTGGCCTCAGTTTAAATTTCGTCCTACCATATAAATTTTTCATGGATGGCTGTCAGAGCCCTCAGATGTGTCTAGATGATCAAAAGCTTGAGAACAGGAGGCTTGGAGGTAACTTTTAAGGGCCACACAAAGTTGTTTTTGTGAGTGGAGAGCAAGTTTAAACTGATACTGACTACATAAAAATTTTTTGAGATGCAAGGAAACAAGTTAGGCTGCTTAGTTCTAAGTGGTTTCTGAGTGGTATCGTAGTTCGTATTGTTAAAAAAATTCCCCACATTTGTAGACATATCGTAGGATATCATCCCAGGATGATGAGCACTCGCATTGGAAAAGGTCAATACTGTGTGCACGTATTGACTTAGGAGAGCACATTAAAAAAAGGCAGCCATTTGAATGCTGCTTCTGCACAATAAGGAAGTCTGTATCTTTCTAAGGCGTTGCATATAGGTTAAGCATATAATGCTGCTGGTTTACATAAAGCTACATATCATCTAACTTATCCTCCAAAAATTAGTTTATCAAAACATTGCCTCCCTGCTGTTTTTTCTGACACTGTAGACAGAAATCTTTACTACTTGAAACCTAGCACTGAAAAGAGGTAATACCTCCTCTTTTTTTGTCTTTACATAATAAATGTGTCGAACATTATAAGATGAAGAGCTTTTAATTTTATGAAATTTGGTTTGATGTCAAAGAGACATTATAACAAGTGGTTTCCAGCCAAATTACGTTTTCTGAGGAGCTGATGGATCTCTTGCCAGCACTAAAGAGGCATTCTTCACATTGGATGTCTGCACACTCCTCGTGGGCAGAATATTACAGGAAAAAGTGTAATGTTTTAATGTATAAAATAATTTTGAAGGCAAGCTACATTAAAATGTAAATTCAAAGCAACCGAATCTTGTAGAAGTTTAGTGGGATTTATTGCTTTTTTTAAAGAAAAAAATTGTTTTAGCAATAGGTGTTTTGAGACAAAAACTTTTATCATATCAGGAATAATAAAGCATGCAGTTGGGGAGTGATGCCTTGCTGCATATTAACTGTTAGTTTTAGAAAGCAATCATCCACATTAAACTAGTTATTCTTACTTGTTTCTGGGATAATATTGCTTATCATGTAAGTTTAAAAAATAAGTATGATTCTTCTGGTGTCAATGACAGAGGCAGAAAAAACAGTTTTGTTCATTACCAAAGAATGGCAGTGAAGTGGTTTTATGTCATTTAAAAATATGCTTTTTTTTTTTTAATCTGTAGATAAGCCTGAGTCAGATTTGAATGTTTTAAGATGCTGAAAAGAAAGGCTTCTTCTGCAGCTGTTCTTAGCAACAAGAGAAGGATAACACTCATTTCTTTTGTATCTTGGGCATTTAGTGAGGGAGTTTTGAAAATTATCTTTGTGAATGCAAATTACATCCTAAATGTCTAAATGATATTGAGGGCTCTGTGGAAATGATGCAATCAGAGAGAAAAATAGAACTGAGAACTCTGTTATCATTCTAGGTGCAGAAGAGACAGCCCGTTAGACGATGTGTCTATAATGAAAAGCCAAATGAAAATGATAAAATAATAATACTGATAATCCTAGGATTGGAAGCTAAGGTTAGAGTTGCCTGTTGTGGAGCCAGAGATTGATTGGACATAAAAAGTGTTTGTCATTCTGGAGAATTTATTTGTGATTAATAGTGTTATATTTAAAGTTATATTGTTCTCTGTAGATCTGTGCAATATTATGATAAAGGGACAGTTGTTGATTTTACAGTAGTACATAATGTCTGAACCACACTAGGAGAGGGACTGGGCTGCTGGAGGCACTGTGAGAAAGTCAGTAATATGTTCACAGTTCTTAACTCAGTATTTAAAAGGATTACAGTAGTAAGTGATTTAATAAAATGTTCATTTCACAGTGGCTTGGTATCCTGAATTACATATTTAGTTCAGTGAAATTCATGTAAAGTTTAATTAGCTGATATGCAAAATCACCTTTCTTCTGGATTATATGGGAGCATACCTACTGTGTGTGTATGTAAGCACATACTCAATGAAATCAAAACACTCAATTTGATCATAATATCCATAAGTATCATAATACCCACCTCCAGACAAAATTGGTTCATTTGTATCTGAAGACTTCTGTATTATGAAGTTATGCATGCCACCATACCAAATTTCCACAACAGGAGCTAGAGAATATCTAGAAATTATAGCTGTACTGGGTCCAACCTGCTAGACTACCAACTAGATAGTTAGTTACTCTTAACAATTTTAAGGTACTCGTAAGAAGATGACTATCTTGCTAGTGCTTCTGTGAGCAACAGAAGCAATTATATCAGAGAGACGTGCAGTAAAAGACTGAGAAAAGAAGCTATATTGGGATTCTCTTTAAAGGTTTTGATTGGCTTTAAATACTGTTGTGGCCAGCTGTTGCGTTTGAAGATGTGATATGCTAAGCCCATGAGTCAGAAATGATACTGTAATGTGATTAATGTAATTAAAAAGCATATATGGAAAAAAAATATGTTCTTTCTTCTAAGTAGCAAGTCTATTAATTGAGTAGGTAAAGAAAGCTGCAGAAGAAAAGAAAAAAAAGGTGAATTACCAACAGGTGTCTGAGGTGAAAACTGAAATTTCACAATTTGAGACAGAATTTGAGGATTAAAGGCCGCATGAGTTTGAAATGCTGCTGAAAGAGTTGCATAAAACGTGAAGGAATTTGTGTGTGGAGCAGAGGAGCAGCTCACCTACATGGAGGCTGTTAAGTTCAAGGACAGTTGTGTAAAAGGAAGAAGAGAGGAATCATTCTCTTAAAATCATGTTTAACCATGCTAGTAAGATTCAGTAACTGTGTATTAGGGGAGATAATTTTTACCTTGTTACTGCCTGAATGAACTAATTACAGTATCTGTTTGGATGCATGAATACGTGGTCGCAGGAGTGTCTGATCTGTCTCTACATGGAAATGCTAATAACTGATACTTCCAGGTGTTGTTAGCCTTTAAAAAACATACAAATTTAGATGGCTGAATTAAAACAAAATAGTAAAATCCATCTTCATGCCTACTGTTGCTTATGAGCTGAATTCACTGGATGCTTTTAAGGGAAGAGCAGGCTGCCTTGTATTGTTTGTCAAGAATTGCATTCTAAGGAATACCCCTTTGTCTACCTCCTCTTTCTCCCACAGTTCAGGTAGTTGAAATGGAATGCTGAGATTTCTATCTGTGGATTTACATTGAGACTAGATTACCGATAGCCCAGAAAAAATCTGTTGTCCCTACAAGCTGACCTCCCCCAGATAGCTATGGGGTCAGCCCACCATATTGGCCTGGGAAATGCATGCAAGCCCTTACCTAATAATACCTCTGGACCTTTCAGACTTTTAGAGTACCCTCACATCTAAACCATGTGTTACTGATTTTTTTTCTAAGCAGTAGCTTGTTCTAGAAGGTGAATGTTCTGACTGGGCTTTTCTGCTCTTCTTGGAGCAGCAAGAAGAGATTTCTAACAAAATGGTTTCATTATAATGATTTTTTTTCAGTGTTACCTGGCATTTATTTGAACATAATAAATTAATCTCTTTTGTATCCCATTACAGAATGGGTGCAGCAGACAACATTTACAAAGGCCGAAGTACTTTTATGGAAGAACTGTCAGATACTGCTGAGATAATAAGAAAAGCAACTTCAAGATCACTGGTAATTTTGGATGAATTGGGAAGAGGAACTAGCACACATGATGGAATCGCCATTGCTTATGCTACACTTGAACATTTTATTAAAGATGTAAGTATTCAATCTGACGCATGCTTGTTTTTTCAACCTGTGCTATGGTAGGCTGACTTTGACATGGTGTGTATTTCCTTTTAGAAATATGTCTTGCCTGAACTCAGAGCAAAGGGCTATGGATTAAGGATAGTGAGCCTATGCAGCTGTGTTAAAAAAAAATAACATTTAATGCTAGACCTTCTTACTTGTCTATTTCACTGTGCAGGTGGAGTCACTGACACTGTTTGTCACCCACTATCCCTCAATTTGTGAGTTAGAGAAGGTGTACCCAGAAAAGGTCGGTAATTACCACATGGCTTTCTTGGTGAATGAAGAGGAAAGTGCTGAACAAAAAGGTACAGTATAAATCGATCTGAGATTCTGGCACTATAGTTATAGGCAGAAATCGAAAAATTGTTGTGGTCATTTAAACCTCAATATGAAAGCGATACATCCAAACTCCCTGGAGTATACACACTCATTTTGAGGGGCTCAAAAACTGAACAACCATTTCTCTTCAATATTTAATACAAGGATGGGCTAGGTCAGATAAAACATTTGCTCAGCCTAGTGTGCGGCTTTTCACAGTAGCCAAATACAAAGGATTAGGGAGGGAGGGATTGAGGACAAAACATACAGCAACTCTTCTTCCTCTGCAAGATCTCCCTCTCTGCAAACACTTGCTATTTAGAGGCCTTCTAAAGCTAGATGTTTTTCCACTTTTTTAGTATCTTCAGTGGATTTCATTTCAACAAGGTTGTCTAGTATCTCTGAGTATCCCTGTGTACTTCTAGCATCTTCATCTTGGTGTGTCAATGAGCTCCAAAATTTACCACTGCGGTGTGTGAAAAACCACTTCCTCTTGGTTGTTTTGAAACTCTTTTGAAACACCAAGTAGCTTCACTTCAGGGTGCCATTTCTTGAATTAGAAGAGACAGAAGAATAATCTCTGTTCATCCTTTCTACGCCATGCATAATTTCATAGATTGTTTATCGTAATCCCCTTCAGTTCTGGTTTTACCAGGCAGAATCACAGAACGTTAGGGGTTGGAACAGACCTCTGGAGATCACCTAGTCCAGCCCACTGCCAGAGCAGGTTAAAGATTTAGAGCATTTTTTCTTCTTGTCACTGTTGCTCTGAATTAGTAATTTTAGTAATACTTGACATCTTACTCCTTAACTCTTTTTCTTGTTTGATAATGGGTATGTTGAGCAGCTCTGTCTAACTGCAGTGATGATCACCTTCATGGTGAGAACTGACTGTTACCGTGTTTCCTGTCTTTAACCAATTATTTGCAGATGCAGGCACCTTCCTTTTAGATTATGGCTGCTTAGTTTTCAGAAGAGCATTTGATGCAACGCTCTTGTCAAAAGCCTTTTGAAAACCTGTATGAGGTTTATACACTGGATCTCTTACATGGATTTCAAACTAACAACAGTTTTGTGATGTAGAATTTCCCTTCATACAAACCGTTTTGATTTTTTTTTAATATATCAGGTTGTCTACTGTGCTTGACAGTTCTGCTTTTATTCTGGATTTCCCACTTTGCCTAGTAATGACCTATTCCCTGAATTGTTCTAGGATTCTTTTCAGGAATTGACATGGTATTTGCTATTAACCTCCCTCCTAATTCATTCTTAATATTGTAGTATCTGCTTACAATGTAAACTATTCAGGACAGAGCACTTTAGTATTTGTCATTAAATAATGTGCTTAAATATAGAAGCTATCACTTTTTAAATGTTTTGGGGAGACTTAGTTAAAAAATTTAGGGTTTGACTAGAGCGAGACTTCAGCTTTTGTATTTTGTTCAATATTAGAAGCTGAAATCACTGTAATACATGTTATCTTTGAGCACAGGTAGTTCAGTGTAATGTTGTGGTTAGGTGAGCACTGTCTAGGTACGCTCACAGAGCTCATTAATTGAACTGGTGATCTCTGATACTCCCAGGCAACTGAGATGTTACCAATATTGAGAACTTACTATTCCTTAACTGTTGTGTCCATGAAACACTATACTTCATGTTTCAGTGTGCTGCTTCAGTATTTCTACATTCAGTGTTGGTTGACCTGAACATTCAGGCCATATGTAGTCTACAGTGTTTTGCTACAGAAAGCATAATAGGTGTAGTACCACAGTGTGTGAGCAGCAACACATTTATGTTTCTTACTCTGCCTGTGTCTTTAGTTTGTTAATGTCTTAACATTTTAATTGAGTTTTTTTAAGGAGAGTTTTATGGCCTGTGTTTTTTCCAATTTTTGGCTTGGACCACTTAGGTCAAATCATCTTGAGTTATCAGGACTTATGGAAATCTCCATTGTTTCCAAAAACTTGTGTTTTTAAGACAGAAGAATGAATGCCAGTGACTGACCCCATAGGTTTTCCAGTCTTTACGCCAGCTTTAGATTGTGCAAAGATGCAACAAGGGCGTCAGGAAGAGGAAGAAGAAGGAGTCATTACATTTATAATCATGACTCTTATATTCTCATCTTATGGTCATGGAATAGAAAGAATTCCTAGTGAAGATCTGCCATCCTAAACTTTGTTTTTTCCTAAGCATTTTGTATGTCTCCTAGCTTCCTGGCAGGCAGCAAACTTGTTGTTGTGCTGTAGTTATGGACTTCTTAATTGTGGAATTACTGACACTTCCTTTATTCTGTCCTTGCTCAGCAAACATGAGATGCAATATCCCAGTTACAGCCCCACTAAGGTATTTGATATGCTAAGATTCTAAGTTTACACATGCAGAAGTCTGCTTAATATAAGACACCAGGTAAAAGTACAGTAAAGAGTTTTTTCAGTCACACAATGGGTGGGTAAAATGTACGGTCTCAAGGAAGTATTTTTCTTCAATGAAATAAATCACACAGGAAGTATGAATGATAATGAGACCATTTCAGTCTTCGGCCTGTTACATTTTATTAATGTAATAGAGTAGTTTTTTATTTGGGTTTTATTTTTTTTAGGATATGAAGATGAAGAGAATCCTGAATTTATCACTTTTCTTTATCAAATAACTAAAGGAGTCTCTGCAAGGAGTTATGGGCTCAATGTTGCCAAACTGGCAGATATTCCTGAAGAAATATTGAAGAAGGCAGCTCACAAATCAAAGGAGTTGGAGACAACAGTGAATATGAAAAGGTCAGAACAGTTGTGATTTTTTTTTTTTTCAGTAATGAAAATTTAACTGTGAATTGGAGAGCATTTCACACAATGTGCATGAAAAAGAACAGTAAGAGCTACTTCAGATATCCTCCTACCCTTCCAGGAATAGATAGTGAAACAAAACTGTGGAAAAAGTACTTAGGAATTTTGCTACACGTTTCAATAGGAACTTTAGATTTTTTAGTTAGCTGTTATGTTAGAGGTTAATAGCTGCCCTCTGAAACAAGACTGAAAAACACTAAACGCACATTGAGCCTAGTATTGGTGATAAATTTTATTTTCGTATGGCAAATACTATATTGTGATGCATACTGTATCGTGGGAGGAAATGCATATATTCTTCTGGTTTAACTAAAAATAAATATTTTTAATATATTTTGATTGCCCCTCCCAAAAATTTTACTGGAAAACTGGGGATTTTAATGCTTTCCTGATAAGGAATTTTCATTTAGGGGCATATGTACCTTATGAAAATTCCCATGTGTATCTAACAGCATCATCTTTATAAAGCCTTTAATGTTATGAACACAGCTTGGATATAAATATATGCTAGTATTCGTATTCATTTCCACTGACTGTTTTGTTGTTACTATTTTCAACAGCAGTCCTATTTGCGAAATTCAGATAGCCCTTTAGATGTAAAAAAAAAAAATTTTTGTTATCTGATAATCATAACTAATCCTGAGAGAATAATTTTATATCAGAAAATTTTAAATACTGATTATTTATAGGTGTAAGCAGTTATTTTGAAATTTAACAGCACTTAGCACTTAACACCAGTTTCTAGCACCTTTTAAGAAAGCAAAATAAAAACATTCCATTGAAGGTGCATGACAGTTTATGGGGAAGAAAATGTGGCACCCTTTGTTACCTGGAAATAATAGTCCATAGTTGATAAAAGTAAAAACAACAAATTGCTATCAATATCTTAACTCTGTGTTTATAGGATATGTAATATTCTAAGATCAAGAAAAAATTGTTATTCAGAAGGATGAGGGTGGTATAAGCTGGAAGGCCGGAGTTACTGTGTAATAAAATTAAACTGTGAAATAATATAATATGTCCCTTTGTCTTACCTTTCTATGAAAATGATGCTAGCATTTTGCTTGGACAGGGCACAAATGGAGCTCTAGCATGTCTCTGTTGTTGAAAAGAGAGTTAATTGCATGCAGAACCTATGAGCGTTAAAAATAGTGTGTGGTGATGTGGTTGAAAGCTGAGGTGCAGTGCCCATAGAGGGGCAGAGTGAGGGCTGGCTAGACGATCTTAATTATGGGACTTCATTTTGTCACATTTGTCGGTTTTTGAACCTGTAGGCTACCATCTGTATTTTAGCTTTCGGTATGTAATTTGCTTGCACTCCTCAAGTGAAAAAAAGAACAAATACTTAATGTAAAGCTGTGATGAATCCTTTTTATCCTGACTTATCCCTAAGGGCTAGCAGCACCTGCGCCCCACACCTCGCTGCAGCCCGCTGCCACCTGAGCGATGCCACTGCAGGCTCCTCCGGCCCTTCTCCCACGTCCCCACAGCAGGGATGCTCCCTGCACTTTGCTCCCTGGTGATGGGGCTGGTTTTTGCACCACCACAAAAGAGGTCAGGCCAGGGACCTGACCCAGATGAGAAGTTGTACTTTCTCCAGCTCATACCACACAAGGTCAGTTTCCTGGTCTTACACATGAGCAGTTTTCACTGTCTGAAGAAAGAAAGAGTGGAAGCAAGAAGAGCAGGAAGCCCTTGATTCTGGCAGCAGTTGACAGAAGAGGGGTAACCTTCAGACTGCAGCCCTGCCTCCCAAACTGGCTTACCACACCTGAAGTTGGATACTTTTGCCTCCCCCTTTCATGAGAGATGGTGCTAGCACCATAGGGGGTTGGGGACAAAGGATGTCCAACGCACAGCAGTTGCTAATTCATTGGATTTGACCTGTACCAGGTTGTTCCTTCATTGTAGACCTCTTGCATGTGCTTTGCAGGGAACTTAATCCTTCTTTATAAACTTGGAGCTCAAGTCAATGAAAAATTCAAGAACATCAGATGTATCTGATGATTTAATTTCATTATTGTATTACGTAATTCTTAATTTTTCTAATTCTTCTACGTAGGTAATTAGAGAAAGATTTTATTTTGTGTATTCCTGCTTATTTTGACTTATTGCCATGATGTGATCTAAATGTCAAAGTATTCTTCTACACCTCTTCCCAGAAGAGACATTTTAAAATGGGTATGGTATATCTGTGGTAGGAAATAAAAATTATCATGATCTTGAGAATCAAACTCAGACCTGTTCATAGCAGTATACTTGTGTTGTCACAATACTCACAGGCCAGCTGCCTTGTCTTATTTTTTTAAATCACTTTCATAATATTTAAGAAAATCCACTGAGTAATTCCATCCAGTCTTGACATCTTTGTCGTCAGGAATGTGTGTTAACCCATTTTAAATGTCTTGTTCTTATTTGTCACAGCTCTTACGAGCCCTTCTTAAATTAAAAAAATCTAAAATGAAAATAGGACTGCTGTGTGTACTCATTGATTTTGTAAATGCATTATCCCTTTATGATTCTACAAGTATGAATTCGTAGGAACTCAATGCCAAAAATTAAACTACAGTTCTATTTATTCCCTTTAATGATTTACTCTTGCTCAGTGTTTTATTTCATCTTGTCAATGCTTCTTGTACTGCAAGTTAGTTATAAAATTAAATTGTTGACTGTCCTAAAGCTATAATACAATACGTAGTGGAAAATGTTAACGAATTGCTTAAAGATCATGTAATATTTGAGCTATGCAGGCTGCCATTTTTGACTGTGAATAGAATTTTGCAGATGACTGTAGGGCTTTCAAGGTTTCATGTGCTTAATTTAAAAAAGTTTCCATGTTTTGACTGATATTTTTCCCTCCCCAGAAAAAAGCTGAAGTCTTTTGCTGAAGTATGGAAGATAACTAATTCTCAGGAACTACAAAAATGGAAGAGTATGTGTGAATGTGAAGATGAAAAAAAGGACAATTTTTAATCCTCAAATCACGCTTAAAGATGGGAAATATTGGCAATGCAAAAAATATAGATGTGGAGACTATTTAATAGATTCTATCAGGGTATAGTTCTAGCTGCATTGAGTTGACTTTTCTGCCTTGAGAGAGATAAGAGATGCTGCATTGTGATATAATGCCCCACATCCACTTCCTGATTGTATGTAACTTTCCCACAATTCATTCCTTCTCTGAAGTGTTTTCCACCCTTTTCCTTAACTATTAATTTCTAATATGTTTAGAAAACTTGAAAATTTATGTTGGTAAATTATTAGGTAAATCTTTTATAAATAAAATAATGTCTTTTATCTTTATTGTACTTCAATTTCTAAAGCATTCAGTTCCTCTGCACTGGGAAAATGCAGCTGAGTTGAATATACTGTACTGCTAGGCAGTTGATAAGAATGAATACCATAAAGAGACTTTCTTTTTTGTTCTATTATTAATGCGTTTAGCATTCATTGCTTTTACAGTCCACCCTTTAAATTTTATGTGTACAGTGAACTTAAGAAAGTGTGTGTTATGTGACTGCATTAGGAGAAGATTTTTCCATTGATGAGATTGATGATGGCATAGCTAGGAGTTTTCAAAGCAGCAACATGAAACGTGGACTGACCATGTTTCCCTCCACATTCTTATACATGCCTGCTTCTTTTTCAGCTTTAGCTTTCATCCTGATGTTGGCCCTTTCTGGTATGGCCTGGATAAAGACTTACTGTAGATAATTTTGGAGTATTGTAAGATGAGGTGAAAGAAGCAATTCAAACTATACAACTTGCATCCTCAGGTCTCTCTCAAATGCAGAGTAAAGCTGGAAAAAACATAAATTATTTTAATTTTTTATTTGCAGTCATTAAGTCCAAATTTCAAATAGGAGTGTGATATCCAAATTGATTTTCGTTTTTAAATATAAATGCTCTGACAGTGGACAGTGAAGATATACTTAAGCCTTGGCAAATAGCTTGTTACATTTAAAATGATTTATTAAGTGGTGTATTGTTTAGCATGGCAAGGTTGTGGTAGCAGGGTATACAGTGGTGGGGTAGCTTCTGTAAGAAGCTGCTAGAAGCTTCTGTGTCTTGTGGAGCCAATGCCAGCTGGCTCCAGGACAGACCCACCACTGGCCAAGGCTGAACCCATCAGCAACAGAATTATCACCTCTGTGATAACATATTTAAGAAGGCAAGAAAAAAAGCCTTCACAACAGCAACTTCAGATAGAGAGAGGAGTGAGAATACGTGAGAGAAGCAGCTCTGCAGACGCTAAGGTCAGTGAAGAAGGGAGAAGAAGATGCGCTCCAGGCACTGGAGCAGAGATTCCCCTGAGTTGTGGTGAAGCCCATGGTGAGGCAGGCTGTCCCCCTGCAGCCCAGGGGTGTGACGAGGTGTAGATGTCCACCTCTGGCCCGTGGAGGACCCCACGCCGGAGCAGGTGGATGCCTGAAGGGGGCTGTGACACCATGGGAAGACCACACTGGAGCGAGCTCCTGGCAGGACGTGTGGAGCCCGTGCTAGAGCAAGTCTGCTGGCAGAACCTTATGGAAAGGACTCACGCTGGAGCAGTCCGTGAAAAACTGCAGCATGTGGGAAGGACTTATGTTGGACCATCTCCCATGGGAGGGACACCACGCTGGAGCAGGGGAAGAGAGTGAGGAGTCCTTCCCCTGACGAGGAAGGAGCAGCAGAGACAAACATGTGAGGAACTGACCACAACCCCATTCCCCATCCCACTGGTGGGGAGGAGGTGGAGAAATCAAGAGTGAAGTTGAACCTGGGAAGAGGAGGGCAGTGCGGGGAAGGTATTTTTAAGATTTGATTTTATTTCTCATTACCTTGCTCTGATTTGGTTGGTAATAAACTGAATTTATTTCTCCCCAGGGATGGTAGTTGCTGAGTGATCTCCCTGTCCTTGTGACTCAGGAGCATTTTGTTACATTTTCTCTTCTCTGTCTATCTGAGGAGGGGAGGGACAGAGCAGCCATGGTGGTACCTGGGGTCCAGACAGGGACAAGGCACCTCAAGTGGAAAGAAGTGAAATAAAACATTTTCTTGATTTTGCTAAAAGGAGAAGAAAATGAGGTTTTACAATCTTTGAGACAGCTGAAGCTTTCAATTTTTTTCAGTAAATGAGGGAATTTTTTTCAGAAAAATGGGTGCCAGATGAATATGAAATAATGTCATTGCAGATGATTGAATTAGCCTTTTCAGTAACAAGAACTTGGTGCAGAAAAGGGTGTAATGTTTTCACCTATCATAAACAGTTTCTAACCTTCACCAAAAAGGTTTTTTTCCAGATTCTTTAGATGGCAAAGCATCATTTAAACAAACAGTTTGTCTGCAACTCAAATAGCAGCAATCCCTACAAGCATGTCCTTCCAGAGTGTGAAGTATCTTTATCTAAACTGGAAGAGCTGTACAAGAAAACTATTTTTCAAGGTGTAGTTACAGGTATGTTTCTCTATGCCACACATTGTGAAGCACAGTGAATGTAATACTCCATTATTTATGCACACAGATGCTGTGCAGTGGATCTAAAGACCTCTGACCATAGTCTTGAAAAGAAATAAACGAGCCATTACTGAATTTCCGTATGTGCTAAATATGCTTTTAGTAAGACTCTCTTTCCCCTCAAGGGAACATCCAGAGTATGCTCTGACAAGAAAAAAACACCTGGATGCAGTCTGAAAAAAATGAAGAAATACAATTAAGAATGAGGAAATGGACATGGTATTACTGGCCTGCTCATACTATTAAGTACAAAGCAATTACAGCAAGCTTTCTTCTTAATGTCTGTGATCATGTAGGAAATAACTTCTGATTTTAGCCCTGCTCAGTTCAGCAACGGAGATTATCTTGCTATCCTGATAAGGTTTATTCTAGATATGCAAGCCAATTATTAAAGTTACTGTTTTATTCGCTGCTGATCATTGTAATTCCTAGCAGACATGCAAAAAGTTACGACAAGTGTGAGAACACACTATAAGGAGATGCATACTGTTATTAGCTGTGTTTACTGCTGGTTTTAGGATACATTTGTAATGAACCACACAGTACAGTGCAATTTTATGTAGACCTTATGTGGCTGATGCAGAGCAGCTGTGCTCTGTAGCAGAGTGAGCGCTGTGTGAGGGGGATTGCTCTGGGATGTGACAAGTTCAGAGCTCACTTGGGTACCTTTGTGGAGCAGGAGGTTAGGCGTAGTCTAGACAGGCAACCAGACAGACATTCCTTGGCCTTTGGTAGCATAGAAACAAAGACTTACTGGAAAACAGCAAAGGACATGAATTTTATAGGAGGTTTTTGTTAAAAAATAAATTCTTCTGCTGTGGGGCTTCTGTGTCATAGCATGAGCCCTTCCAAAGGACAGAAAATAAGAAGCTGCTCTTGTTTTCCCTTTTTTTCCCCACCCCTTCTTTTATATTTCAGCAGACTAAGCTTCATCTCAAACACAATTTGAAGTACAGTTTTGGTAGTGTAATGATCTTGGAGATGTGCCCTGTTTTTAAACCGGAGTAGTAAAATTTTGTCTGTGTGCTGAGTCAGTAATTTTGATCCTGCATACTGATGGCAGTAAAGTTAAAAGAGTGACCCATGCTTAGATGGTCCTTGGTTGTACTGGGAATTCATGTTAGTCTTCAGTTTGCCTTGTCTAAATATTTTTGGAAAGCTGCATGGGGTATTGGCTCCTACTGCCCCTGCCAGCATGCTATTGACATCATTAAAATTGAATATTGATGTGAAAAATACAGCTTTGTGCTATACATAAAGGTAAGGTCTCCTTGAAATGCTCTTCCACTTTATGTTTTTTATCCACTTTTTCCGAGATGATATTTATGACTTCCTTATGTTTTTTCATTATTCCGTCTTCCCTGCTCTTAACATAAAAATTTTAATGCCTTTGTGCATCTTGTCTTCGATGTTTTGCCTTTAGAAATCACAGTGCCACAAGTTAGCAGCAAAAACTGGTAGACCATTTTGATGGAAAAGGAGAGAGAGGGCTGGATACATTGTCACTGCCTTTTTGTATTTGGTTATATAAGAACATTATTATAGAATACGCAAAGTACATTACCAGTAGCAATTACCTTTCTTACTGGCATACAGCATCTTTCACTGAAGTAACTCTCAAGAGGATTTTTCTTTGTGTTGCCAAGTTTTCCAGAAGTATTTATAGAAATGACATGAATTTACCTACCACATAAGTTTACGTTGTGTATAAATGAATTTAAAAATCACTGAAATGTCAGCTGAGTTGGGTATTGCAACAACTCCCTTCACTGCAATGAAAGTAATGTTTCTTTATTGAAATCTAGTGCAAAGTAAATTATCCAGATATTTCCTACTGTATGTAATATTTATTGAGAATTTAATAAAATTATTTTAACTTCTTAACAGTTCAGATATAAATGCATAATTCAGAGGGAAATAAAGGTTTGGTACATTGCACTGAACTGAGAGAAGTAGGACTCTGCTCCAGGATCTGGATCACACTTCAGAATGCCTGCTGGAGGGCCTTCTCCCCAAGCGTCACGCCAGGTGGCCATTGTCATCTCCTCGAGAATCCTGGCCCCAATACCACAAATCTTGGGCAGCAATCTAAAAAGTAAGTCTGAGCTGCCTGTTTTTTTGCCCCTTTCAGATTTTAGAGCATTTGAATGGAGTGGATACTTGTCATCACCTTTTAATTCATCACCATAGCAAACCGAAATTTATCATCTCAGCCTAATTTTCCCATCTGTTTTCCAAGCTTTCCTCCATTTCCTTGCAAAATCTGTGGCAATAAAATCCCAATCGGATGTTTGTTAAATCCAAAATCAGTTCTGGGGGACAAATTTGCAGACTGCTGATCAGAATTAGGAGTTTTAAAAAGACATGTGGCCAGAGCCTAACAAGGGATTTACGGCTGAACAAGGATGAATTTAGGACTGAAAATCCAGCCAGTAGGTAAACATGGGATTCAGTTCTGAGGAGAGTTACCTCTGTCT